AATTAAAACTTGAAAATAGATGAAGAAATCATCACTCTCACTGCAAGATTAGCAGTAGTATTCATTATTAAAGATGAATATATATAATATCTCTTTACAGATTATAAGAATGTCTTTTTAGAAAGAGAAGTAGTGAAGTTTTCTGATATCAAGATATAATATAAGATTTGTCTTGAAGATGATATAACAGCACTGTACAGGCCTCTTTACAACTTGTCTGTAAAGAAATTGAATGTTCTGTGTAAATATCTTGAGAAAGTGTAATCAAAGAACTGAATATATTCATTAAAGAGTTCAGCAGAGATGTCTATACTCTTTATACTCAAGAAGAATGATAGACTATATCTATACATAGACTACAGAGGTCTCAATAAGATGACAGTTAAGAATCACTATTCATTACTATTAATTAATAAGATAATTGATTAATTATCTGAAGCAAAGATATTCTCAAAGACTAATATACAGAATATCTATCATAGAATCAGAGTTAATGAAGATGATATTTAAAAAACAGCTTTTCATATCAAGTACAGTAATTTTAAATATCTTGTTTTATTTTTTAATCTTTATAACACTTCAGTCATCTTTCAGATCTATATAAATGAGACACTGCAGAGTCTTGTTAATATCTTCTATATAGTATATCTGAATAACATTCTAATCTTCTTAAAATCAGAGAAAGAATATGATATTCATGTTTGAGAAGTGTTGAGTCACTTGAGACAGTATTAACTCTATACAAATACTGAAAAATACTCATTCTACATGCAGAAGATTGATTTCTTAGATTATATTATTAAGATGAACAGCATTTCAATGAATAGAAGCTGAGTCTCTACTATTGAGAACTGATTAGCACTATCAACATACTGCAAGATACAGATGTTTCTAGAATTTATGAATTTCTACAGATAATTCATCTATATATATTCATGAATTACTGCTCTTCTTACAGATCTGTTAAAGAGAAGTGTGAAAGACAGAAAAACAGAATCATTTATTCTCACTCAAGACACTGTGCAGATATTTATAGAATTGAAATAAGCTTTTACAGATATCACAATACTGAATCACTTTAACTCTGATTTACTCAGTCAGTGTAAGACTGATATATCTGAAAATGAGATCTATGAAATCTTTTCACAGTTAATACTGAAGATCTTTCAATATTGAAAGAATCAGAGAATAATCACTTCTGAAGATATAGATAATGAATTGTCTGTAAGAGAAGATTTTTTCATAAAGTCTATAAGATACTATGAATAAAGATCAGTGATCTTCTTCTTCAAGAAGTTATCACTCATACAGAGAAGGTATAATACTCATAATCAGAAGATATTAGTAATTATCAAATTCTTTAATATCTGATAACATTATCTTCAGAATAGTAAGTACTCAGTATAAGTTCTCACTGATTATACAAATCTGTGTTACTTCTTAACAATAAAGAGCTTGATAGAATATCAAGTCAGATGAGCAGAGCTGCTTTCAGAGTATAATTTCTATATTTAATATTATTCAGATCAACTTAATCTCATCAATATATTATCTAAACAGTCTAATTATAATATTATTAATGCAGAGAAGAATTCTATAAAAGAATCTCTGTCATCACTGTAGAAGAAGCTAGCTGCAGAGAGTTAAGATTATCTGAAGCTCAGAAACAGTGCTGATAAGACAGCTGCACAACTCAGTATAGAAGATAAAAGAAAACTCAGATCTTTACAGAGAACTGATACTGAAGATTATAAGCTTCTCATATCATATCTTATAATCATTGAATTAATAAAGAATGAAACAGTCTACAATCTTTCAATCTGACTACTTTTAAAATTTATTAATAAGTTACAGAAGAGAGATATCTCTACTACAGCTTGAATTCAGAAGTTGAAGAAGAAAGAATTTAGTTTAAACTTGAAAGAGACAGGCTCTGAGTGAGATGATACTGCTAAGAAATTAAGTCACTGATAACTAGAAGAATATGAACTTCTACTACTGAATAATTCAGTCTTTATTTCTTATAGTAGAGCAGTGTATCAGAAGTTATTGAGAATTCATTATATTAATTCTTATACAGGACACTTCAGATTAGAGAAGACTGAGAAGCTTCTAAAATATAAATATATTTGAGACAAGCTTCAGACATATATCAAAGAGTATATTAAGACTTATAATATCTATTAAAGAATAAAGATTCTGTAGTATAAGTAATACAGCAAGTTAATATCACTGCCTGTTTTAAAGAACTTATAGCAGAATCTATTAATGAATTTCATAGTTAATCTGTCAAAGTTAATAAGAGTCAAAGAATATAACTCAATTTTAGTCATTGTTAACTATTTTATAAAGATGATCAAATATATCTCTACTGATAAAAATATTAAAGCCTCTGAATTGACTGACCTGTTTTTAGATACTATCATTCATAATCACAGTGCTTCAAAATCATTAATAACAGATCAAGAATTTCTCTTTATCAGTAAATACTGATTAACTTTTTACTATCATCTTATAATAAGATGTCTTCTCAGTACTGCATTTCATCTGCAGACAGATAATCAGACTGAATATCAGAATCAGATACTAAAACAGCATCTTTGAGTATTCTATTTATATTATCAGAATGATTAACTCAAACATCTTCTGATCACTGAATTTATATATAATAATGCAAAGAATGTAATCTTAAAGATATCTTCTTTCTATACTTATTATAAATATAATTCTTCATTACTCAGTGACATCACAGATGATATTCTAAGAAGAGAAATAGACAGTCAGAATATTAAACAGATACAGAGAACAGAGTATCTCTCAGTACTAAAAGTAAAAGTAAGATTAAAACTTTTGAATAAAATTTATGAGAAGACAGTGAAAAGTATTCACTGTGCTCAGAAGAAGCAGATGAAATACTATAATTGAAAACATCTTTCAATGAAGTTCTTAATAGAGAATTAAGTACTACTTTCAGTAAAGAATATCAAGACAATGAGATTATATAAGAAGCTTAGTAAGTAGTGACTAGAATCTTTCTCAGTAATAAGAGTGATGAGTAAGCAGATATATCAGTTAAAATTATTCACAGAATTGAAATCAATTTATTGTATTTTTCATATTTTCTATTTGAAGCGTTATAAACAACATCTCAAGACAGAGCTGTCTCAGTCAGATAATATCAAGATTGACAGTGATACTGAATATCTTGTGGAGAAAATATTGAATAAGTGAATATATTATAACAAGCTTCAATATCTTATTAAATGAGAAGATTATTCATTATCACAGAATTCATGAGAATCACTTAAGCATTTGAAAAATGCTGAGAAAGAGATTGCAAGCTATGAGATGACTAGTAGAGACTATCTCATTATATATCAGAGATGTTGAATAAGAAATACTGCTTAAGACTTCTTATTTTTTTTTAAAGAGTTTTTTTAGAGATAATCTCACAGTGATAAGCTGATATCTTGTAAGCTCTATAACACTCTTCTTCTATTTTCTCTCAAAGAGTTTTTTAGAAGTTTAATAAGACTACACAAGTGTAAAATTTCTGAAGCAGTTAATAGGAAAATAAAGAGATATTTGAAATTAATAAAAAAGATTAATATTATCAATTCATGAGTCACTGCTATTCTAATGAGGCTGCAGTCTGCTGAAAAAGTAAAAAGAAGAATCAGGGCCTACTTATTAACAATCACACTCTTATCAAACTCATTCTTTATCATTGAAGTCTTCAGTATCAGTATCTTTGTCTGCTGAGAAGCTAGTACTGCAGTATCACAGAGAAGTATACTGCAGAAGAGTATGTATGCTGTAGAAGAGTATAAGAGATACTGAAATTATCAACTTATCAACTTACAAAGCATCTCAGTTATCTGCTTTAACTGAAGTAAGATTCTCTTTAATCAGTGATTAATCTCTGTGATGCTTTTAACAGTGATATCAGCTGATCCCTTCTTAAGATGAGTCATTCTGAGATATTTTTTCATCTCAGAGACTCATGTCTTCACCTTCTTTTACAGATAAGCAAGAGAGACCTTCTCAGTCTTGACAGAATTTATCAATACTTGAAGCTCTGAGACTCTCACTCTGTACTGCTTGAACATCTGAGCTTCTTGTCAGAGCTGATATGACATCTTTCTGTGAGATAATACTTACAGAGAGGCAGAAGTTATTGTTACAGATACAATGAAAACAACAGAAGTGAGAGAAGAGACAGATATATAAAATCTTTCTCTTCTTCAGCTGCTTAGAATAGTGTAGATAAGTGACAGTGTCAGTCAGAGATCACACTGAAGTCTTCTCACAGAGAGAAGACAAAGAAACTGCAGAATTCTGTGAACTCAACTCAGCAGCATTCTGAGCAGGGCTTGAGTATGTCATGAAAGAGAAACTATGAATTGAGCTTCTCAGAGCTGCTGTCTCTGAAATCAAGCTCTTCTCAGAGTTCTCTTTAAATGATCACACAGGGTCATATATCATTAGACTGGCCGCTGGGACCATGAATTTCACATTTGGTCTCATTTGATCTGGTCTCATACATTTCTTGGCGTGAATCCCGCTGGGACTGGCTATCAAAAAAACATGTAAAGTGACTATATATCAGATCTTAAAATGGAACCATGACTTGAAAAAAATGAGAAAGTGATCTCATTTGATCTCATTTAGTTCCATTCTTAGCATAAAGTTACTATTTTTAGACATTTTAAGGTTTTTTTTAGACTATTTTTAATTTTTTAAAAAGTAACGCTTTTTGATAACACTCAAATGAGATTTAAAGTCATTTCAAGCAATAAAAATAATTTAAATTGAGAAGTGGAAATCATGGTCTCATTTGGAAAATGTGACAAGAGTAGACAGTAAGTCTCACTGGAACAGTATGAGACTACTATCTAATGTTAAAACCGTGTAATGGAATCAGTTGAATTGGTAATGAGACTATCAAAAAATCTGGTCCTGGTCTCAGACACGGTCACACGGTCAGTCTATATACCATCATGTTGATTGAAAAGAGAGACAGTGTTGCAATAGTGATGAGAGAGGTAGAGAATGAACCAGACACAGACAAACCAGCCGGCAGAAGAGACAACACCTCACTGCAAGGCACAGCTACTACTGCTGTGACTGCAAGAGAGGCAGAAGAGAGAGAAGATGTGATAATGAAAGTGATGCTTCTGCAGCTCATTGACACTGCTGTCTTCATCTTCAACCTGGCTTTCTTGACAGTCACAGAGACTGCAGCTGCATCATAAAGATGTTTATTATTCACTAGAAAATATCAGAATAAGTTTCTTATTATCTCTCAAGAATGATGCTCTCATGCACTCACTATTACAGATGAGAGAGAGAGAAAGAAAAATGTTTCACAGAGAAGAAGAATCTTTTTGAAAAATCCTGCTACTACTGTTAGCTTTGTCTCTAAAATACACCACTTTTGTAGAGAATTTTATATATAGAACAGAATATAATAAGAGATCTGTAAGTCACTGTTAACTATATTTTTCATATTTCAAATCAAGATATAAGAAACTCACTTATCATGTGTTTGATTTGAATGAAGATGAAAAAAGAAAGATTCTCACAGTCAGTAGAAAAACTCATCTATTTCTTTATATCATACACAGTATATATACTGTCAAATCAGTTGATAACTGTTGCTATACAACAAAGATAATTTCTAATTCAGTAATCTTGAGAGTATCAGAACTATGCTCTTAAAGAGAAGAGTATTATCATGTTCCTGATCATGTCAAGACTCTGCTGCAGTTTCACATGGCTTATTGCTTTTATATGAATGATTTCATTCATCTCACAGGCTGTTTAAACTGGTTTCCAACCACTCTATGACATTATTCAGATATATCATAGAAAGATCTGATTGATGAATATGAGAACTCTGCTTCTATACAAGATCAGCAGATTACTCTTTCTTAACAGTGAGATGCTGCTGAGGTATCACTTCAGCTATTCTCACTCATGATATGAGAGAAGAATATTCACTCATTGTCTATATAGAATAGCTAGATACTGACTTCTCATCAAAGAAGTGAGTGATTTATTTTTTCTTCTACTGAAATATATACAAGAGTTACTATGTGCCTCATACAATCTTCTTAGTATACTAAGTATCATATCTGTGATATTCTCACAATAACTCTGTAGCCTACAAGCTTACTATTCAAGCAAGATAGTCAAGCTCATCTGTACAGCTACTCAAACAACTACTTCTACATGACACCGCTGACTAGCCACCGCTTCGGTTCCGCCACGTTACACTGATCTTATATTAAAATCTTATGAAGAGAGTAAGATCTTACAAAGAGAATATCAGTAAAAGATCTGAGAGTTCTGACACTCAGATATATGAGATATTTATATGATTACACATCTGATAATCAATACAATCATGTCTAACAATAATATGAAACTCTCAAATGCAAGTATAGATGCAATGCCACAGTGACTCTAAGCAATGTTGAAATTATAACAACAATAAATAGCTGATATGAATGCAACTTAACAACTTCAATACAAAGAGATTCAATGATTAACTCATACAATTTCAACATCTACAGAATCAAATATAAAAGCACTGAAGAAATGCTTAGATGCTCTCATATATTTTAATGCTTTCAATCTCACTCTCTACTCATCATAGAGAATGAAAATGCTGGTGAAACTGAGTAGAGATGAAGATATTATCAGTTCATTAATCAATCAAGGTTGATATATCAATGAACAATTGAAGAATTGCATGAAACAGAAGTTTCATTTATGAATAGAAGCATGTGAATGAGTGTTGTGAATGTCTGATAATATTATCAAACATCTTGATGTCCTGTTCTGAGACACTGCCATGCAACAGAAAGTGTTAGATTGATTACAGAGTGTCTAACAGAGAAACATTTCTCTTATAACATTTATCTCTGACTTCAACATCAAGATTCTAGAAGCAGGTGATCAATCTTAGAAGAATTAAATGAAGATTATCATGCTTAAGAAGACATTGACTTTTGAACTCTTACAGACTCTTGCAAGTGTAGATGAAGATCAGAGTTATGAAGACTTCTGCACACAGCTTCAGACATTGAACAATCACTTATCAAGCTCAAGAGTATACAGAACAGTGATAGAAGATATTACACTTCAGCTATTCATACACTCATACTGAAGAATAGCAATGATGCAGATATCATGAACTGAATAGATTTAAATGTCTACACACAAGCAAGAGTTTCTGCTGTTCAAACAGGCTTCTGAGTCTCTGAGATCACTCTCAAGAAAGTTGTCAATTGATATCAACATGAAGTATGCATCAACTGTAACTGATTAGAACACATCACTTTCAACTGCTAATTGACCTATGTGTCTTCACACTCAAGAGAAAGACTGGCATCTTCTCAATTGAGAGAAAGATTAGTGTCTTCTCATTCAAAGAATGAATCAGTGCCTGTCCGCGCCAACCACATTGCAGTGAAGGAAGATTCAGAAGATAACTATAAGAATGTCTCAATGAAACAGGGAAAAGATTAGCTTCTGTTCAAATTTACAAACAGAAGCTTGAAGAGATTGAATGACAATAATTTGAAGAGAAAATGATAATAAATGTGATTCTTGTATCTACTGTGATTGATAACATGTATAATATGAAAGCCATGATAGACAGCAGTCTATGCCACTATGCAATGATAAAATCTTCAGTCATAAGATATCATAACCTTCATCATATTCTCTTATCAAAACCTCAACTTCTCACAGAATTTGATGATTCAAAAGACATTTGTATCTGTTACATGATGAAGTTGATCATAGAGGTGAAAGAACATCTACATGAAGATGTCTACATATATAAAGTTGATAATCTTGATTATAATCTTATATTAGAACTTGTCTGACTATCTGAACAAGGAATCTTATTAAATACTTAAAACAGAAGCTTGATATTCTGTAACAATGATAGAATTCACAAAGATTATATTCACAGGACTATGAATCTGATACAGATCTCTGCTAACATATATAAAATACTCAGAAAAAGAAGTCACTGATAGCAGAATTACATGATAATCTATTTCACCAGTCTGACTAATATCAAAAAGGCTATAGAAAAGTTATCTCATGTTATAACAACAGATTCTTATATGAATCTCTCTCAATAATATCATGAATATCTAGATGTCTTCTGATAAGATAATATTATGAAAATATCTCTCTTATAAGGTTCTGAAGTGAATCACAGTATCAAGTTAGAGAAAAAGAATAGTAAGAATCTCAAATCATCATAAGATTCTCTTTATAACATATTCTGAGATGAACTTCTTCTTCTTCAAAAGACACTCAATGATCTGTTGAATAAAGAATTCATATACATTAGCAACTCTTTCACTGCAGCCTCTATTCTCTTTGTAAAGAAATCAGATGAAGAACTTCAGTTCTGTATGAATTATCAAGAATTGAACAGATTAATAAAGAAAGACTGTTATTCTTTATCTCTTATCAATGAAACTCTAGCTTACATTGAACAAGCTCAATGATTTACAAAGTTAGATATCATCACTGTGTTTCATAAGATTGACATCACTGAAGAAGATAAGTGACTTACAGCATTCTGAACACAATATGATTTCTTTGAATAAGTAGTCACACTCTTTGAACTGATCAATGTCTTCAGTATATTTCAGAAGTATATCAACTGAGCACTCTGAGACTTTCTTGATGAATTTGTATCTGCTTATCTAGATGACATTCTCATCTTCACTGATGAATTCAGAAAGGAATATCAAGAGCATGTGCACAGAGTATTACAATGACTATGAGAAGCAGAACTATCAATTGATATTAACAAGTGTGATTTCAAAGTCAAGAGTACTCAATACTTAGATTTCATCATAGAAGCTGGTAAGAGAATTTGAATGAATTCTGAGAAGATCTCTGCTATTCTTGAATGAGAGGCCTCACACACTGTGAAAGATATATAAAGCTTCATCAGATTTACTAACTTCTATCAGCAATTTATACAAAACTTCTCAGATATTATGAGATCACTTACAGAACTCACTAAGAAAGACTCAGTATTTCAATGATTAGTAAACACTGAAGCTGCATTTATACAGATGAAGAAGATGTTCATTAATACTTCTCTACTGATAATATTCAATTCTGATTATAAGATAGTTATTGAAGCTGATTTCTCTGACTATATGATAGAAGAAGTAATATTATAATATGATGATGAAGATGTTCTATAATCATGTGTCTTCATGTCTAAGAAACTGAGTTCTGCTGAATGCAATTATGAGATCTATGATAAGAAACTTCTTGTAATTGTACACTGTTTAGAAGAATAAGACTCTGAACTCTGAAGTGTCTCTGAATTTAAGATAGTCACAGATTATAAGAATCTCAAATACTTTATAACTATCTGTAAACTTACTGAATGACAGATACAATAATCTGAGTTCTTAAGTCACTTTCATTTTACAATACACTACTGTTCTGACAGTCAGATCTCAATGACAGATGCTCTCTCTCAATGAGAGCAAGATATGCCATTCAATGTAACAGATACTTGTTGAATGAACTGAGAGCACTGACTCTTGAATCTGAAGATACTAGTTAATCAAGATGAAACAGCTTACAGCACTATACATGCTTCTTCAATTAGAACTGTCACTGATATCTTAACTTCTCTCAAAACTACATTAGATGAGCTATGACATACAGCAGCTTAAATCAATGAACTTCTTCAAGTACTCACTGAAGCAGTATAACAAGAAATATTCTGATTTCTCTCAGAATTGCATGTAAGAACTGACATCTCAGAATATTTAATTGATGATAATAATACTCTATAATTCTATTAATAATACTAGGTCTCTCACTCTGAACTCTTACACACTCAGATAATGCAAGAGATGCATGATTCATGTATGACTGATTATTCAGACTGTGAACAACTGTATAGAATGATCTTCTGAGAGTTCTATTAATCTGAGATATTAAACAGCATCAGATACTTTATCTGAAACTGTAATCACTGTTCTTCTATTATCTTATGAAAGAATCATAGAAAAGATCTACTGAAATCACTCAATGTTTCTTATAGAATCTGATAAGATGTAGTGATTGACTTCACTATTAATCTATCTAAGAGTAAGAATTGTAGAAATATTCTGATCATTATAAATCAATTGAGCAAAGATATAATATTGAAATCTTGTGATAAAATGAATACTGAATAAAGTCACTGAAG